ATCCTTACCATACCGGTCCGGTCTACTACCAAACTACCCCATATATCTAAATTTCCTTCTGATTCATCTTCAACTTGATATTTCCTTTTTGCTGTAGCACCACAATTCCTCAACTTAGACTTACCACACGGAACCAAGCATAAAGCCACACTGTCTAAGGCTCATAAGTCGATGAATACTTTCTTAAACATTCCCAAAAGTACCACATCCCAAAATACTTTACTCTGAAGAACTTCCTGCGAATCTAAATCCGTTACCTTTACCTTCCTGGTACTGATACATAGAATCCCATAATTAACATAGGAATACTACAAGTCTTGACCTCTCCCAATGGAGACTCACTTTCTAATCACATATACAACTTTAGCATACCCAATTATTACATGTAGAATCTTGAACACATTAGAACCATTCTCGAGAGTCATTTACTCAATTTAAACTGCAATTAGCCTGATCAAATGAACAGAACCACCCGTGCCTCATTAGCACTCTAACACCTCAAGATGTGACCTCATCCCAATACAAACAAGCATCTTCCTGCTCTACCAACAACAACTTAAGACATCCTGTGATTCTCACACACCTACGAAGCACCATATAACCTTTGTCAAAATTTTCCTTCCACCGAGCCATCCTCGACCTCAATCTCCGTAAGCCATAACTGACTCACCAACACGCCTCAAACTGGAACCAACATAGCACCTACCCCTGCAATCAACTTAATCAATAGCAACTCCCCCACTTGGCTCGAAGCCATAGATCAAAACACACCCTATAACACATAACGCATATACTCTATTGCTGTCATAATACCATAGTGAGATTAAACTCAATCCTTCATAAGCTTGTGGAAACACAAATCATCTAGAATTTTAACTCTTCTGCAAATCTCGCATTCACTCACACAACAGTTAAGCCCACTCTCTAGGCGACCCAATTTAGATTTCAACACATATTCTTCACTTGTAAATGAGATCTTCTAATAGACAACATAAGGATCACACAACCTTAGAACACTCCGTAGGAGATAACCCACCTGCTTTGCCTCCAACTAACATTTCTGTATACCTTCCACCATCACAAGCATTACGCAGTCACTTGATCTTCCTAAGTATGGACTCATACCGCAATATGAAATTTACTTCACTCCCAACTAGGAAAATGGAAAGATTCTTCACACGCCCATAACTCGGGCTATACCTCAAATCGAGATGGACTTCAAGCATCTAATAGTTCTTCCATCATTCAGCAGACCCTTCTCGTCGCTTCCAAATCATATGGATACACCTCGCAGTACTAACATACTCATCACATAGCCACAGCTGTCACTTCCACTAACAGGGACACTACCGAACATATAAGTTCAAAAACACTTGTTCACAAAATCAGCACCTCGGTGCTCAAGCCAAAGGCAAAGATCCGGCCTCATGTCCTCCAGACAAGCCCAGCATCAAACTCATGGAGATCACATCTCGCCCCTCGTTCAAGGAATCACAAGCCATCGAGGCACATCTGACATTGAGTGCTCATGCGCGCACACAAACGCGTGGAAGGAATTCAAAGAGTTACATTTCAAGCTGAATCGAAGGACGCACTATAAGAATTCAAGAATGTGAAGTTTTCCTAAAGGTTCTGCAGCCTCTCGAGGATAAATACAGACGTCGCCGTACCGATCCGCGAGACTCTACCAAACCTGCTCATGACTCGTGAGACCTATGTAACCTAGGCTCTAATACCAACTTGTCACGACCCAAACCCTGACCCGGTCGTGATGGCGCCTCTCGTGAGGACAAGGCCAGCCAGCTAAACAGTTTTGTCTTCTTAGAACAGTTAAACGGTGCATAAGCAGCTTAAATATAATTTAATGATATAATTAGCGGAAGTACAACCCGACACAGCCCTAATCGGGCTGTCACAAGTCACGAGCATCTATTAGAGTATAAATACAACTACAAGGTCTGAAATATAAAAAGCAGGACTGATGAACGAAAAGGGAGAAAAGCGGTGCTTTGAATGCTGGCAGCCACCTCACTAAACTCCGATAACTCTGCCTCCGATCAGCCAAAACCCGCTACCGGGTGTATAAATACCTGCATTTGCACACAAGGTGCAGGGAGTAAAGTGAGTACTCAAACTCAGTGAGTAATAAAGGTAAATAACAACTGAGCAGCAAGAAATCACGTAAAGCAAATCAACATGCTGTATAGAAGCAGTGTAAAACCTTCTGAGAAAAAGCAATGAAGCAGTGAAATCTTTAGAAACGTCTTAGCTCAGTTTAAACCTCTTTTGAAAATGACTTCTTCAATAATTACACAAATGAATGCAAAATAGTTAGTGCCGATAAGCACAGAAAATCCGCCCCTCGGACGCAAATACCACAGTATAACAAGTAAAATGATAAGTAAATATGAAAGATGAACACATAAAGGTTCGCCCCTCGGGCACAACTCAGAACTGTAACAGCCCCCCGTGCTCACTCTCAGAACAATATCAGCCCCTCGGGCTCACTCTCAGAACAAAATCAGCCCCTCGGGCTCATTCTCATAACATAATCGGTACCCGCGCTCACTGGGGGTGTACAGACTCCAGAAGGGCCCCTTACGGCCCAAGCGCAATATCAAGTCATCTCGTGGCATCAACTCTCGGCTCTTGGCCTCACATCACTCAAGCCACCTCGTGGCGTATAAATACATCTCAGGCCCTCGGCCTCATATCACTCAGTGTATCCTCACATCTGGCCCTCGATCGCACTCAGTCCGAAAATCATCACAAGCCCCTCGGGCATTAGTAAAATAGTAATTCTCAGCCCAAAACATCATTTAAAAATATCATTTCAGTCACAAAACTGAGTAAAAGTGGCTGGGTAGTAAAACAGTGGAAAACAACAGGACTAAGTTCAAGTAATAAGTCAAACAGTGAGAAAATAGTGATAAAAATCCCCGAAGGGTTCAAATAGTTGGCACGAAGCCCAAATATGGCAATCAGCCCAAGTCATGATGTTAACAAATAAGTTTCAGTCAAATACGCGGTAAAATCATCAATCGGGATGGACCAAGTCACAATCCCCAATGGTAAACGACCCCACACTCATCATCGAGCGTGTGCCTCACCTGAATATAGCACTACGATGTGCAAACATGGGGTTTCAAACCCTCAGAGTATCATTTACAATCATTTCTCACCTCGAACCGGTAAAATCTCTAGCTCGCGATGCCTTTGCCCCTCAAATTGGACACCACGCGCGTCGAATCTATCCAAAATCAGAACGAATACATCACAATATGCTAAGGGAACAAAGCCCAAGCGAAAACAATCGAAAAATACCAAAAATCCCGAAATTAGCAAAACTCGAGCCCCGGGCCCACTTCTCAAAACTCAAAAAATTTTACATCAACGGGTTCCTTATCTCCTCACGAATTCATACATACCAAAAGTTCTCAAATCCGACCCCAATTGGTCCTTCAAATCCCCAAATAAAATTTCGAAATCCCAAGCCCTAGTTTCTTCCATTTTTAGCTTGAGTTCCATGGTTTCCTAGGTAGATTTCACAATAGAAACGAGTTTTAAATTCATAAACCTTACCTCCAATCGATTTCCCTTGAATCCCTCTTTAACTACCCTCAAAAAGCTCTCAAAAAGATCAACAATGGAGTAAATGAGCCCAAAAATCGCGGATGAAATAACTTAAAAACATTCTGACTAGGTCTGACTTCTATCTTCCCGAACGCGGACAAAGCCTCGCGTTCGCGAAGCACAATATTTCCATTGACCAAAAGTTCCTCATCGCGAACGCGATACCCCATCGCGAGTGCAGTGACTTAGCTTCACCAACCTACGCAAACGCGTCCCATGCCTCGCGAACGCGAAGGCTTAACACTGACCTTCCACAATTTCTTCTTCGCGATAGCGTACACCTACTCGCGAACGCGCTGTGATTCCTTCCCAAGACTTCGCGAACGCGGCCTTGACCCTCGCGAATGTGTAGCTTACCAGAACCCAGCCCTTCGCGAATGCGAGATTCCCTTCACGAACGCGAAGGCCAAAAATGCCTACAACTGCTGGAACAAAAATCTGCAATTTTCCAAAAACCAAAATTGTCCGATTGACCACTCGAAACTCACCCGAGGCCCCCGAGACCTCAACCAAAGGCACCAGCACATCCTAAAACCTTATTCAAACTTGTTCCAATTATCAAAACACCTCAAACAACATCAAATCCACCAATTTACATCGAATTCAAGCCTAAGTTTCCTAAAAAAACATCCGAAATACGCTTTCGATCAAAAACCCAACCAAACCACATCCGAATGACCTGAAATTTTCCACACACATCCCAAATAACACAACGAAGCTACTGCAACTATCGGAATTCCATTCCGACCCTCGGATCAAAATCTCACCCACCAACCGGAAATTGCCAAAATATCAACTTTGCCAATTCAAGCCTAATTCTACTCCGGACCTCCAAAACCCATTCCAATCACACTCCTAAGTCACAAATCACCTCCCGAAGCTAACTGAACCATCGGAACTCATATCCGAGCCCTCTAACACATAAGTCAACATCCGGTTGACTTTTTCCAACTTAAGCCTTCTTAGAAGAGACTAAGCGTCTCATTTCTTACCAAATCCTCTCCGAACGCAAACTAATCAACTTGATCACATGAAACACGGATAACGAAGCATAAAGAAGCAGAAATAGAGGAAATATAGCGGTAACTCATGAGACGACTGATCGGGTCGTCACAGCTTAATTTCATGTTAACTAAGTAATTCCATTGAAGATAAATATATCAAATTGTATAATTTATTCTAACTTAATTGCAATAGAGTTTTCACCACACACACTAAAAGTACGTATTTAAGTTCAATTTGTTGGGCCCGTGCTACCACTGGTCAAAGCTTATCTAGTGATATAGATATGTGGTGGATAAAGGTTTGTATTACTCGCTAGCTTTTTAAAGCTAACTAAAATCTTTATAAGGCCTTCAAGTTCTGAACATTTTCTCACCACTTACCTAATTTTCACAACTTATTGCTATTCTGAGGAGAACAAAATATGGGTGTTAAAGGAAAGTTGATTGCTTCAATGCAGGTGAAGTGTGAAGGGCACTCTGTTTATGATATTTTTCACGTTAATACTCATCTTATACCCAACATAAGCCCTGGTAAATTCAATAATTTTGAGATTCATGAAGGTGAAATCGGAAAGGTAGGTTTGTTTGCTAGCAAGAAATATAACGAAGGTAACACACATCCCCACCCCCCTCTATTTCTCTATATATAAAGATTACGGAAAATATTTTTCAAGAAATATTTTGAGGAAAGGAAAATAAATTCTTTTCACTTGTAGGTGGAAGTTATTTTCTCATTTAAAACAATGTTAACTATTAATTTTATTTTACTTGCTCCAGCTAACACTTTGACATTATTATTAATCTTTAACACTCAAAAGTTTGATAAATTGTTATTATTATTTATAAATAACTTTATATTATTATCAGCGTTTAATATATGTTCTTTTGAGATTCATAAAAGTAATTCCATTCGGATAATTTTTGTAGAAAATAAAAATTAAAAACAAAGGCAGAAAAGAAATATGAAGATATTATTTTGTACATATTTATATCTTTTATGAGAAATTGGACAGTTGAGCATTATTTTCGTATTTTAATAATTATAGATGGAAGAGAGAAGTTTATGGAGCATAGAATTGAAGCCACCGATCCTCAGAAGAAATCAGGCACTTGGAAAGTAATTGAAGGAGATTTATTAGAATTATATAATTCATTTACTATTAGCATATCTATTGAAGACCAGTGGACTACATGGACATTTGTGTACGAGAAGAAAACTGAAGATACTCCTGAGCCCCTAGCTTTCATAGGTGTACTCCTTGATATCACGAAAGATGTAGAGGGTCACCTTCTCAAGAAATAGAAGACATATATATATATATATATATATATATATATATATATATATATATATATATATATATATATATATATATATATATAT